ATCAACATTAATTTTAAAGGTTATAAAAAAATAATGCAATGTTAATGGACTTTTCTAGAGAACAGAAATACTGGAAGGAATGTTGTGAAGTAGAAATAAGCAATTATAAATGAGTTCTTGTGTGCTCATCAATTTGGGACTGCAGAAATGGCAGATTAATTCTGTTTTAATGGCTCCATCGAGCCGTGCGGCCCATTTCTCATTTCGCTCACCGGGACGGAGGCGTGGGTGGGTGTGCTGGGCGGGCTGTGGGACCTGCATGGAAATGACGGCTTTTTGAGCCGCGCGGCTTTCCGTCTGGTCTTGACTTGGCGTTAACACGGTTCAAATGAAGTTGATAGATTTCAGGTGTCAGGGGCTAAACCACAAACCTTGAAAAATATGTGTCTTGAGGAAAATATTTTCCCAATGGCAAATGGTTCTTTGTCATTTTGCTTTTATTCTTCTGTCCCCTTTTGACTTGCCGATGATACTTGAGCGAGGCACATGGGGTGATTCTAGGACTTTCCTCAAACTGGCTTCTGAAATGACCGTTTCCCCGGGGCGTGGCTGCGTTCCACACTCCGCTCCTGGCTCCGGCTTTCCAGCTTCTGCAGGAAGCCTCACCTCCTGCATTTTAAGTTCATAGCAGTATTGAGCAGAAGTTACAGAACGTGCCCGTGTGTTCCCGGTCCCCCCACACACAGCCTACCCCAGCCAAGCGGTGCGTTTGTTACAACCGGTGATCCTACTACATAGACCCATCCTTGTCACCCAGGGCCCGTAGTTGACATTTGGGTGCGTTCTTGGTGTTGCACACTCCGTGGGTTTGGACTAGAGGTGTAATGACACGTGTCCACCGTTACGGTCTCAGAGTAGTCTCACCGCCCTGAAGATCTTCTGTGCTCTGCCTGTCCTCCCTCCTCCCAGCCCCTGGCAACCACTGATCTTTTTACTGTCTCCATAGTTTTGCCTTTTCCAGAATGTCATATGGTTGGAATCATACAGTATGTAGCCTTGTCAGATTGGCTTCCTTCACTCAGTGAAAACGCATTCAAGGTTCCTCCACGGCTTTTCATGGCTTGATAGCTCATTTAGTGCTAAGGAATATTCCATTGTCCAGATGTACCACAGTTCACTCACCTGCCAAGAGACGCTTGGTTGTTCCCAGTTTGGGCAATCATGAATAAAGCTGCTGTGAATACCTGTGTGCAGGTTTTTGTGTGGACATCCGTTCTCAACTCCTTTGGGTCGATATCGAGGATCTTGCTGGATCACATGGTAAGAAGGTTTCGTTTTGTAAGGGACCACCAGCCACCTTGCACAGTGGCCGCACCATTTTGCGTTCTCAGCGGCCGCTCATGGAAGTTCCTTTTGCCCCACACCTTTAACGGTATTTGGTGTTGTCAGTGTGCTGGATTTTGGCCATTCTAATAGGTATGCAATGGTGATAACATGGATTTTTTTTCATAAGTTTAAAGTTGCGGATAAAATATTTACCATCTTAACCAGTGTGCAGTGTTGAGTATATTCGCATTGACAGGTGCGAGATCCAGGCCGATGTGCCCGGCAAGCTGCACGCAGGGTCCGCTTTAACTTTCTGCCTCTTTCTGTCCCCAGGAATTTTGGGGGGTTTCCTCTGTGGGCGCCGCCATGCCGCAGGGAGGGAGAGGGGTCACGGCTAGCAAAATGCCACCAACGTTCCCAGCGCCCTCGCTGGGTGCCGAAGCTCCCTCCCAGGGGTGCCGGGGGTGGGCGGTTCCCGGTCCGCGCCGTGTTGGTGCCATCCCCGGGCAGGCGAACTCCAGTGACACATGTGGTCCCTGCGAAGCGCTCACTCCCATCTCCGCTTCTCCTGGGCAGCCTCACCGCCTGACTGGGGGTGGGGGCGGCCCTGAGTGTGTCTGTAAGTCCCAGGAACTCAAGTGCTGGCCCTTGAAGTTTTTGTCCAGTGTGGAACGGTAACTCAGAGCATGCACTTTGAAACGGACCCCAATGCTGCTCTATGACTTTGATCTCCTACCACGAACTGGAAGCCACCAGCCTTAGGGGCCGCGGAGAGGGCACATGAACAGCAGCACCTGGCACACGAAGCTATGATTGCACAATGACTGCAGAAGGCCACAGGCCTCACGAGGCCACCCGCCCTGGACAACAGGCCACTGCCCTTCGCAACCCCCCAGTGGGCACGATGCATCAAAAGAAGGGGTAGAGATAGTTTATCTAAGGCCACTGTGTGACCGGACACTCGGACCCTCACGTTCCCCGTGCTAACACCACCTGACCGGCGGTCCAGGTAGAGAGTCGCCACTCGCTGAACAGGAGCGCGCAGCTGAAGCAGATCAGAGCCCCACCCTCACCCCCACCCGCCCCCAGGGTGCCTAGGGTCTCGCCCTCCTGCTCTATCGAGTGGCCTTAGAAGTGGTCTCCCTGCCTCCTGGAAGCCAAGACCGCGGGGCGCCTGGGTGGCGCAGTCGGTTAAGCGTCCGACTTCAGCCAGGTCGCGATCTCGCGGTCCGTGAGTTCGAGCCCCGCGTCGGGCTCTGGGCTGATGGCTCAGAGCCTGGAGCCTGTTTCCGATTCTGTCTCCCTCTCTCTCTGCCCCTCGCCCGTTCATGCTCTGTCTCTCTCTGTCCCAAAAATAAATAAACGTTGAAAAAAAAAAAAAAAAAAAAAAAAAAAAAAAAAAAAAAAAAAAAGAAGCCAAGACCGCAATTTCACACAGTCTAGACCTCAGCCAGACTTGCAAAACTGCCACCTCCAGCCGCCTCCCTCCGGCTGCCCCACCCCCACCACGCACAAGACTTTGCAGTGCTCCAGGGTCCTCCAGAAAGTCCTGCTCCAGCCTGGGGCAGTGTCCCCATGACCCTGAAAGCAGTCCCCACGCTGCCGGCCTGGCCTCCTCCGGGTCCTGAGCACCTTGGAGCAGGGCCCACCATCTGCTTCCCACCATGTTGCCAGTACTTAGCCCAGCACCCAGTACCCAGCACATAGTACTTCCGGTGTGGGTGGGACAGAATCCAAGCCCATCAAGTACTTGGCCATGGCGAGATGCAGGGAAGGCCCAGCTGGGCCCCAAAAAACTAGGTCCTGGGCCCAGCAGGAGAGTAGGGGTGTGGGAATTCGGGAAGGAAGCAGCTTCCACAAGCCAAGCAGGAATTGCAAACATTGGAAGCCATATGACCCCGGGGTTGCCACCTCTGAGTGGCGTCTCTGAGCCAGGGATGTCAGAGGGCGCTCAGGAAGATCCTGGTCCTCTTACAGTGGGAAGGCGAAGCAGGGGGAGAACGGGGGCGATGGGGTGGGGGTAAGGGATGCCTCCCCCAGGCCCTGCTTCAGCTGGGAGAGAGAATACTCCAGCTGTTTGCAGAATGAGAGTGTGCCTCACACACCCCTGGGACGGGTGAAGGGGCCTGACCCTGCCCGGGAAATGCCCCTTCCCACCCTCTGGGTCTACTACCTTCTCATCTGAGCAGGTTTTGGCCTCAGAGTTCCCACCAGCCTCACTGATGTAACAATTCAGCTTCAATTCCCGCCCCTTCCATTGTTGGAGAGGGAGCGTGAGGCCGGGCATGGTGTAGTCACCCAGGCCTTACGCGGAGGGGCAGAGAGGCTGAGCAAGAGGAAGGATCTGGTTGGCACGACTCCAGCCTGGTGCGGGTGGCACACAGGTTTGCATCTTTCCTGGAAGGACCTCGGAGTCAGGACTGGAAGGCTTGGGACTGGAGCCACGGGGGACCTGGCCTGGGGTGGCTGGGAGGAGGAGGCGGGGAAGGCGCTGGCACAAGGGGAGGCCTGAGAATTCACTCCCTGGGGTCCTCAGCAGGGGACGCCTGTGAGGGTGGAAAGAAATTGCGTCCCACTGGATTTCCATCCCCTCGTCTTCCAGAATGAGTTTGAGCGGCTGATGTTCAAGGACAAATGAGGAGGAGGAGGAGGAAGCAGGCCTCCTCCTCAGAGGACAGAGGTACCTCTCGGGTCTAAGCCACCCTCACGCCCTGAGCTCAGCGGCAGCTCAGTCAACAAGGGAAAGTGCCCACACCGGAAAGTGGGGCAGGCATGAAGGACATTCATCACTCGGGTGGCCGCAAGAGCCAGGAGGTCCAAGGACGAATTTGTAACAAACTTAGGAAGGCGTCTCCAGGCCATTGAACTGGCGGTCAGGGTGAGTAGGAAGCTCTGAAAACAACCCAGCTGCCTCCCCACCCCCAGATGTAAACTCGACAGGCCAAGATCAGGCCAGAACTGAGGACGCTGGGCCCGCCTACCAGGCGAGGGGCCACAGCACCACTGCGGGCAGAGGCAGGAGGCAGGGGTGGGGTCCGGGCAGCTACCGGGAACTAGGGTGACTTGGTGCTGGGTCTGAGTGTGTGTGTGTGTGTGTGTGTGTGTGTGTGTAAGTGGTGCGTGGTTTTGTGGGTGTGTAAATGTGTGCTGGGATTGCAGGTCAGTGTGTGAACACGTGGGTAGCGTCTGAATGTGTGAGTGGTTCGTGATTGTGGGTTTCTCTGTGTGTTGAGTGAACTAGTGTGAAGGGGACACCAAGAACGTCATCCCCGTCACCACGGACCCTCTGATCACTGTGACCTCCCTAGGGCACTGGGCAAGTGCCAGTAATAAACTTGGGAGGGGGCAGGTAACATATGGGAAGACAAGGGTGTGTTCTGGGGACGAGGCGGGGACCACACTAAGGGGTGCGAGCCTAATACGACGGGTGGGTGGCAGAATCAAGTCCAATGACCCCCGGCTTTTCCTCGGAGCCTCTAACAGAGCTGCAGAGTCAGGCTGAGGGGTGGGCTTCTCGTCTCTCCACTAATCTCACCCCACTACCCTGGGGAAGCACCCGAGAGTCCAAGAGGGACAGGACTTCGGCGGTCACCCCTGCACCTGATCTTCCTCGGCTCCTCCTCGTGTCCGCTGGCAGCACGGTCCCCCTGACACGTTGACTCAGGGCAGAGGGCAAAGGCCGGCCTCGGGTCCCTTTAGAAAGAGGGCCCGCGCTGGCTGGGCTTGCAAAATGTGCTGAGCGTCCCATCTGGCCTGGTCCTAGGTACCTGGTGTGCCGGAGGAGCCCAGCACGCACTGAGGCGGCCATGGGACTGCTGACCGGGGATGCTCTGGGGCCCCTGGCCATAGCCGTGGCCCTCTTCCTGCTCCTGGTGGACCTTCTGCACAGGCGCAGATTCTGGGCTGCCCGCTTCCCGCCAGGCCCCATGCCGCTGCCGCTGCTGGGCAACCTGCTGCAGATGGACTTCCAGGACACGCTCTTCTACTTCGACCGGGTGAGGAAGGCGGGAGGCGGGAGCAGCAGAGGGGGATGGGGGCCCCGCCTAGCGGTGGCGGATGGCGGGTGGGGGGTGAAGCCACAGGCCGCACAAGGAGAGCACAAGGAGATGGGCCGAGCGCTGGAGGCAGGGGTGAGAGGCCGACTGCGGCCGGCCTCCGCGCAGGGCCCGAAGGACGATTGGGATTTTCCAATCAAAGGTCAAAGAGGGCAAAGGCCTGGAGTGGGGTGTGGGCTTGGCAGTGGGTTTGGGATCCAGTTGGGCAGCGCTTAAATTATGTGACCTGGGTCCCTTCTGATCACAGCAGGAGGAAAGGTCTTGAGAATCGGGGATGGAGTCTGGTCATGAGCCCCATTTTAAAAATTACTTTATTATTTTATTTTGTGTTATTTCCTATTTTATTTATTGAGAGAAGGCACAAGTGAGCAAAGGGCAGAGAGGGAGAGAGAGTCCCACAAGGGGCAGAGCGAGAAGCAGGGCTCACTCGAATTGGGGCTGGAGCTCACAAACAGTGAGATCATGACCTGAGCTGAAGTCAGATAGGAGCCCCATTTAAATCAGGAAACCGAGGGTGACATAATTATGGGGACGGTGGTTTCTACTCTTTTGCTGCTGTGGTTTCTTGGGTCTCAGTGCTCACCTCTATAAACTTCAGTTTCTTCACCTGTAGAATGGGATCCTAACTTGGCCTACTGACAATTTTGGTGACCTTTGCAAAGTCCTAGCTGAGAGGTCTGATCCAGCGTGAGCTCCTCCTCCGTAGACCCTAACCCAGAGTCAGTAGGCCAGATATCGCCCTTGCACCAGCGTGCTGCGGGAGGCCTAGGGGTGCCCCAAGGCTAGCGCCATGAGACTGGGGCCGCAGCCTGCTGGGGGTGGGAGTGGGGGGGCGGAACCGGGCTTGACAAACGCCCTCAAACCTCGGCCTGCAGCTGCGGCGCCGCTTCGGGGACGTGTTCAGCCTGCAGCTGGCCTGGACGCCCGTGGTCGTGCTCAATGGCCTGGAGGCCGTGCGCGAGGCATTGGTCTATCACAGCGAGGACACTGCCGACCGCCCACCTATGCCGATCTACGAGCACCTGGGGTTCGGGCCGCGCTCCCAAGGCAAGCGGAGAAGGGGGGCAGACCGAGGTCCGGAGGGGACTGGGCCGGCAGTGACTCAAGACCCGGCAGGGCTAAGTGGAGGCAGGATCGTGAACATGCAGTGCAGGGAAGAGTCAAAGAATTTGGAGTGGCCGCAGGTGGAGGAAGGGATCTGGTGCCAAGTGCCGGGGCCTGATAGAGGCGGATGAGGGCGGGGCCTGACCGAGAAGGGGCGGGCCCAGGGCCGAATCGGTCAAGAAAAGGACGTCTGGGTGGGCGGGAATGAGGGGGAAGGAAGACAGTATGGGCGAGGCAGGGGGCGGACCAGGACTTTTCCCGACTGGGCAGGGGTCAAGGTGGGCAGAGTGATGCCAACACCTGCCCCCAGCAGAGGAGAGCTGGCGGGCAGGCAGAGAGACCAGTCCCCAGCGGCAAGTGGGTGTCAAAGTAGGCGCGATTTAGTGGGCGTGGGGGGCAAGGTTTATGAGGGCGGGCAGGGGGCCGGGCCTGTGAACGGGGCAGGGGCGGGGCCTTGCGAAGGGGCGGGGCCGAGTGCACCGGGCGGGCGCGTCAAACCACGCCCACCGCCCCGCCCCAGGGGTGTTCATGGCGCGCTACGGGCGCGAGTGGCGCGAGCAGCGGCGCTTCGCCTTGTCCACCCTGCGCAACTTCGGCCTGGGCAAGAAGTCACTGGAGCAGCGAGTGACCGAGGAGGCCTCGTGCCTCTGTGCAGCCTTCGCCGACCATGCCGGTGCGTTTGGGGGCTGAGGGGCACAGGAGACAGGGACGGAGGGGCTGGGGAAGAGATGGAGGAGACCCCCTGACCCGCACCGTCCCCTCTCAGGACGCCCTTTTAGCCCCAGGGCGCTTCTGAATAAAGCTGTGAGCAATGTGATCGCTTCCCTCACCTACGGGCGCCGCTTCGAGTACGACGACCCGCGCCTCCACAAGCTGATAGACGGAGCACTGAAGGGACTGCAGGAGGACAGCGGCTTCGCGCGTGAGGTGCGGGGCGGGGGCGCCAAGGAGCCCTGCAGGGCGAGCTGCGTGGAGGCGGCCTCCGCCCTAAAACGCGCCTCCCGGAGGAGGGCGTGGGGGAGGAGGGGGAGGAGGAGTACGGAGGGGCCTGGGAGAAAAGGCATTCCAAGACAAAGGGTCTGGAGAAGGTGGGGAGGTCGCAGACCCGGAGCCGGGGAGGCGGGCCCAGGGTCCAGGAGCCCAGGAGAGGGCCCAGGAAGGAATGTGTACCTGCTTCATTGGAAGCCACTAGAGCCCATGAGATCTAGGGCTTAGATTTGTCCTCCTGGGCCCCGAGCCAGGAAAGAGGATCAAGGCCCGAACTTAGGGAGGAGCCACTGCAATGGTGGGGACACCCGGGAGGTGGCAGGGACCTGGCTGATCGAAGTGAACACTGAGCGCAGGAAGGTCCCCCATCTGTGGCCCTCCCAGGCCCTGAACTCCATCCCTGTGCTCCTGCGCATCCCGGGACTGGCTGACAAGGTCTTCTCAAGCCAGAAGGCCTTAATGACCCTCCTGAATGAACTAGTCCAGGAGCACAGGATCACCCGGGACCCAACCCAGCCACCCCGAGACCTGACTGACGCCTTCCTGGATGAAATAGAAAAGGTGAGGTGTCAGGGACAGTGGTGGTGGTTTGAGAATCCCATGACCCCAGGCCCAGGAAGGTGGGGCCTGGACATCACCCAGTGATCAGTGACGGGGGCAGGGTGGGAGGCCATCTGGGGGCTTCTTCCCTCTGGCCGAGCTCACCCTCTTGGCACGGCCCAGGCTAGGGGGAACCCCGAGAGCAGCTTCAATGATGAGAACATGCTCATGGTGACAGCCGACCTGTTTCTTGCTGGGATGGTGTCCACCTCAGCCACGCTGGCCTGGGCCCTCCTGCTCATGATCTTGCACCCGGACGTGCAGCGTGAGTTCAGCCTGGGGCCCGGATGGATGGATGAGGGAGGAGAGGAACCAGCTGGGGCCCCTTAAGCTTGCTCTAGCCCCCCGAAGCTCTGAGCGGAAGCTGGGCCCTGGGCCCCTCCATAGAGTCAGGCAGAGGTCGGAGCCCAGACCTCAGGGTTCTGACCACTGTGGGGATGCTTGTCTGTCTAGGACGCGTCCAACGGGAGATAGATGAAGTGTTAGGGCCGGTGCAGCGACCAGCGATGGCGGACCAGACCCGCATGCCCTTCACCATGGCCGTGATGCATGAGGTGCAGCGCTTTGGGGACCTCGCCCCACTGGGCGTGCCCCACATGACATCCCGAGACATTGAAGTACAGGGCTTTCTCATCCCCAAGGTAGGTCTGCAGCCTTCTGCACCCATGCTCAGCACCACTCAGCATGGCCAATGCCAGGTAAGGGCGGGGACCCAAGGCACCCAATCCTCATTTCTGCAAGCACCGACTATCCCAGCCTAGGTGGATGTGGGGGATGGGAGCAGAGGCAGGGCCGGCCTCTCTCTTCAGAGCCCCCAAGTCAGGTGGGGAAGACAGACTGAAATGTTGCACGGGTTTTGGAGGAGCCTGTGCACAGGGACAGGTGGCAGTGTGGACCCCCGTGGGTGGTGAGTCACTCGGCCTGCCATGGGGACAAAGGAGGTGCTGAGAAGCTTCTTGGGCCATGGGGTTATTTGAAAGAGTCCCGTGTGTGCCAGGCAGAGCGTGCACCCATGCATGTTCGGTGGCAGGGGTCTGGGCGTCCCATAGCCTAGACCCCACCCATGCCAGGCGTCTCCTGCCAGGGGACAACACTTATCACCAACCTATCGTCAGTGCTGAAGGACAAGACGGTCTGGAAGAAGCCCTTCCGTTTCCACCCCGAGCACTTCCTGGATGCCCAGGGCCAATTCGTCAAGCAGGAGGCCTTCATGCCCTTCTCTGCAGGTACCTGCGGTGCCCAACTCACTGACCCCTCCCAAGGGAGTCTCGGAGGGTGGAGCCCAGGCCCCCCGGCTCACTGAGCACCCCCATACCCACCCGCAGGCCGCCGCATATGCCTCGGGGAGCCCCTGGCCCGCATGGAGTTCTTCCTCTTCTTCACCTGTCTGCTACAGCGCTTCAGCTTTTCCGTGCCTGTGGGGCAACCCCGGCCCAGCGACCATGGTGTCTTTTCCTTCCTGATGATCCCACCCCGCTACCAGCTCTGTGCCGTGCCCCGCTAGGAGGAGGAACCAGCCCCCCGACTGGCTCCTCAGCAGGGGCCCTGATATGCAATAAACCAATTTGGCGGTTCCATCCTGGCTTCTGAGTCCCCTCGGGCCCCCTGACCAGCCCCTGGCGGTGATGGGGCCTCAGCAGCCCCCCCAGGGCCAGCCCCTACCCCTGCCTTATCCGTCCTTACCTTGCGTTTGATCCCATTTGAGAGCCGGGTATACCGAGGGCCAGAAGATGACAAGCTTACCCCCTACTCACCCAGAGACCCAATATCGGCCACTCTGGTTAGTGACAATGTCTAAGGTCCCGGCCCGTGCCAGGAAGAGCGAGAACAAGCTGCTGAGAGATCTCACCCAGGCCCCGGGGGGGGTGGGGAGGACCCCACTCGGCCTGGACACCCCCACCTCAGGTCCAACACCGCCCACCCCACACCACAGGCCAGCAGCTCAGCAGCACCTTCAACCCTTCTGCCCCACTTCATCTACGACAGCCCCGAAGGTGAGGCGCTCAGGGAGGGCCAGGAGGGATGTGCCAGGTTAACACCTGGGGCTCGGTCCTCAGGTGCCAGAGCTTTCCCTGCGAAGCCTAATGGCCGTCCAGGAGTGAGCCACCTCCCTGAGCCTTTCAGTCACCCCAAACTAGGATGGGCCCCGTTTCCTAGCCCCTCGGAAATGCTCGCGTTCAGGCACCTGCTCAGGACTTGCCATTCGTGGCCGGGCTGGAGCAGGAAGACACTCATTTGGCTCCAGCCTAGGGCACAGTCCTCTGAGCGGCTGGGTCAGGCTGAGCTCTTGGGAGACTTGGCCAGGGGTAGGCAGGGAGACCTGTGGGCCACAGGCACGCCCTAGGGACGGGGGTCAACCTTGGACCCATGTGACAGTGGAATGGTCAGAGGACGAGGAGGCCATGTGGAGACCCTGGAGGAGGACACCTGGCTTTCATCCTTGCTCTGCCAGGATACTGTGTGACCCTGGGCCAGTCCCTCCCCTGCCCCGGGCTTGTTTCCCCTTCAGCCAATGAGCTGCTGGCATCAGATGGCTGCCGGGTCCTGTCTTCCTGCTCTGACTTCTCGAGCTGTGACCCTGTTAGCCTGGAGCCGTAGCCAGGAGCAGGACTGCTGTCCCCCCTCCGTGCCCACCCCCACAACCGGCGGGTTCTGGACTACGCACCTGGGAAGCACCTGAGGCTTTCTGACAATGGGATGCTTCGCCAAGTCTTGTGCAGACCCCCTTGGTGCATTTAGGGAACAGCCTGGGGACCTGGGGACCACAGACACTCAGGTCAGAAGCGCCCCCTCCCCCAGGCTTCTTTTACCAGAGGACACGCACACCCAACAGCATCCCTGACAGAGGTCCCACCAGCACCTTCTAAATGCCTTCATGACATGGAGCCACCCGGCTCTCAGCACTCAGGGGACTTGGTCTGTCCCCTGGCACTGAGTCAGAGTATCTGCCGTCGTGTCAGGGCTCAGTGGCAGGAGGTGGTGTTCCTGCAGCTTGTCAGGACAGGGACTGTGGACAGGGTCTCACTGGGTTTTTGACGACACGAAGCCTCTGAAAGGAGGCAGCTGGGTCTGCAGAAGCAGTAACTGTGGATTTATTGGATACTTTGTCATTCGTGGTTCTGTGTCTTCCGGGTGTCAGGGGCTGGGAACCAGCCCAGCCAGAGCCTCCTCAGGAGCTGGGGGACCCAGGCCCCGGGCCTTTCCTCCTCACTCGCCACCTCAGAGGCCTCTAGAAAGTACAAACAGGCATGCCTGTGGGTCCCTTGCTGGGAGGACCTTTCCCCAGAGCCAGGGTGCCCTCTGATGCTGGGGGGACAGGCTCAGGAAAGGCTGGCCGTTCCCCCAGCCCGAGGGGAGTGGCTCCAAGTTCCCGGCTACCAGGAAGGAAGCAGGAGGCAGGGGAGACATTAGGGGGGATGCGGCATCTGGACACCTGGGCTTCTTCCCTCCCCTCCCCACCCAGGGCAGGAGGTCTGAGAGGAGTGATCTGTGACCTCTGCAGGGTCGCTGCGATCAGGGAGGGAGGCAGTCCTGCATCAGGGTGGGGCCTGCCATCTTACCAGAAGGGTATATTGCGATCTCCTTACGGACCTTTTTATTTTCCTGGGAAGAAAGAAAGGACACAGTGGTGGGATGAGACAGGTTCTACCCTACACAAATGGGGAAACTAAGGCCTCACTTCACAGGGAGTCAGGAGAGGCAGGGTTCAGACCCGCTCCGCTCACACCAGGAGTGCGGCCTCTCAGCTCCCCACGGCTCTTTGCGCCACTGGGACGGCGGTTCGGCCCAGTGGTCTTGGGGGTGCCCCATCCCCCCAGTACTGCCCTCTCCCTCACGGCCCCCACCCTGCCGGGCTCTGGGGCTTCTCAGTGGGGCCCACGCTGGGGCTGTTCCTTACCTCCCAGTCTGGGATCCCTGCCACCTCTTCCTCCTCAGCCGTCTCCCTCCTGGCGGGAATGGAGCTGGCTGCTTCCGCCTCTGGGGCCCTCCCCTCCCCCTCACGCTGAGCCAAGATGTCAGGATCCTCCTTCGCAGCATCACTCAGTCCTCCAGTTGCCTCGGGGGTCGTGGCCTGCAGGGAGGGTCAGGAGGGTAGAGGTGGGCAGAAAGGCCCTCAGAATGCCTCCTCCCTCCCCGTTCTCTACACCCGGAGCGTGTGTACTTCTTTGCCTTTCCAAGGAAGTCCTTCCCTGCTCAGTGAGTGGTGAGTTTCCTGGGGGGCGGGGGGGGGGGTGCCACTGCCCCTGGGATTCCCCTGCCACGAGCTGGGGTGTCTCTGCGCCTCATGGAGCTCTGACAGGAGCCAGCCTCACTTACCTCGGAGGCTTGCTTCTTCCCACTCCTGACTCTGCGTCTCTACAGAGGCAAACAGAAGTGTCTCACAGCTGCGAGGGGCTGGGAGTCCTTCCCTGCCTGGCCCATCCTCTCACTGAACCTACCAAGGACGCCCAGGACAGCCACCCCATTCCAGGGGAAGAGGGGTCCCCAGCCCTTACCTGAGTGGTCACAGGGTAGCACTTATCCATCAGCCCCCACACTGGCCTTAAGGTCTCCCCTACGGGCTGCGTGACAAGGAGGGAGAGGGGGGAGGCAAGGCTGAGGTGACACCTCAGCTACACACTAATCCACTGTCGATGTCCTTAAGGCCTTAAGGTCTCCCCTACGGGCTGCGTGACAAGGAGGGAGAGGGGGGAGGCAAGGTCTAAGGGCCACCTCAGCTACACACTAATCCACTGTCGATGTCCGCATGCACAGACACCTAAAAACTACCACAAAAATATGATATAATAATGGGAATGAAAAATCCAATCCAAGTGTAGAAGGTAAAGTTGGAAAAAAAAAATTTTTTTTTTCCCCCAGAAAGAACAGAGAGGAGATCAGGAGCTCCCACAGCTAAATCACAGATCTTTCTGAGAGAGGGAACAGAGACCACAGACCGAGGTGGCAGGGGAGAGATACCAAATGAATACACCCCTTTTTTATCAAGACAATTTTCCAAAGGGGAGGGACAGGAGTTTCCAGAAGAGAAGGAATCACCAAGTACCTAGGACAAGGGATGATGGAGATCCACCCCCAGAGCCTTCCATCAATACATTTGAGAGCACTGAGGACAAGGAACCCCCAGACTTCCAGAAATACAAAGAAAAAAGTCTGTTTCAGGAATTCAACTTTCATCAGACTTTCCTTTGAAAGTCGTTGAAGCCAGGAGACAATGAGGATCTTCAAACCCTATGAGAAAAATACTTCTAGTCTAGAATTCTGTATCTATCTAAACTCTTGGCCGAATATGAATTAAGACTGTTACAGATATGTGAGATCTAAAGACGCCCCCCTCGGGAAGCAGGGGTTCTCCTAGAGTTTGGGTCCCACCCAAATGAAGGAGTGATGTGGGCTCCCCAACATGGGAGAAGTGGAGTGCTCCCCAGACCCATGAGAAAGAGAGGTCCCGGGACAGCTCAGCGGTGAACATCGTGAAGGGTGTCCTGTCCATATGGAAACAGGAGGAGGGAGGGCTCCATGAGCTATGGCTCCACGAAAACCATCATATTGATAAAGCACCTAATTTTTCTAAATGTATTGCAAGGAGACTGATTTTTTGGCAGACAGCTTCGATAAGTTGTAGGTAGAAAACTAAAAAAGAGGCAAGACCAAAATCACACACGAAGAGCGGCCACGGTATACTATTCCTGGCTCCGCTAGGAATATTATTTTTCATAGTTTAAAAATGTAAACCCTGAATATTGGTCTAATAAAAATTCTGATATACACCCACTGGCATGGCTAAAAACCAATGGCAAGTGCTGGGGAGGATGTGGGACAACGGGAATCTCGCATTCGGGGCTGGTGTGAGCGCAGAACGGCAGCACCCGCTCTGGAAAAGTCCCGGTTTTCTTGCGGGACTAAACGCACACTTAACCACACGCCCCACTCCCGGGGCCAGGTGTTTACCGAAGCGGAAGGAGAACCGATGTCGACACAAAACTTGTAGACAAATATTTAGTGCGGTTTTATTTGTCACTGTCCCAAACTAGAAACACCCAAATAGCTCAAGTGGTTTGTGGACAAACTCTGATCCATCCCCACGAAGGACGCCTGCTCCGCAAGGCACAAACTACTGCTGCGCATGCGCCCAGACAGGCCTCAGGCGCACCCAGCGCAGCGAGGGACCAGAAGCGCAGCCGCATCGGGGATGCCTCCACTTCCGGGACAATCTTGCCAAGGCAGCAGTATGGGAACGGAAAACTCTTCACTGGGTCGGGGTGGGGGCAGTGGGGAAGGACTGGCTGCCCGTGAGTACGGAGGGACTGTCAGAAGGGATGGAACTGTTCTGGTTTGGGTTGTGGTGCTGCTTACACAGCTGTGTATGCCTGTCAAAAAAGGGGCCACTGGGGCGCCTGGGTGGCCCAGTCGGTTAAGCCTCCAACTTTGGCTCGGGTCATGAGCTCACCGTTCGTGAGTTAGAGCACCGCACAGCTCAGAGCCCGGAGCCTGCTTTGTATTGTGTGTGTGTTTCTCTCTCTGCCCCTCCCCCACTCATGATCTGTCTCTCTCTCTCTCAAAATAAACATTAAAAAAA